CGCTGATAAAGACTGATAAAGTCGTGCAGAAAGCAATGACTTAAAGTTATTGTGGCTAAAGTTGATTCTACAAGCTGCTGAATCAGGGGGCTTATTTAATGTTTCACACAATCCTGTGAAAACTTCCCTTTTTTAACATGACTGTAGTTTGGGTTTAAACGGGTGAAAAATAAGTTCATAAGCAGCACAAAACCTACTTTCAGGAACCGGAAAAGGCTGTTCTTTAAAGTGAGCGATTATGGCAGAAGTGTTAAGAGCTTATTAAACAGTTAATAGTTAATATACACATAAAGTACACCGAACCAGAGGAAAGACAATTGAAAACTTCCCCTGAGTGGATAAATGTCAGATTAATGCTGATGCAATTTATTATTGTAGTGCAAATTGACACTTATGGTTAAAAGCATGCGAATTTTTTTTTATAATTCTGTAAAAGTTAACAGAAGGGGCATGAGCTAGCTCAAAATGACTGCAGACACTCACAGCCAGTATATCATAGGGAAAGCTGTCTCGCTCACTCACTCTGTTTAACTCCTAGACACTGGTATCAACGGGAAAGAGTCAGCCAATGAAACTAATTGGGTGGTTTGTGTCTTATGAAAGGAATAGCCTGTTCTGTCCAAAGCTCCCTCCCACAGCTATCTGACTGGCTGGCTCCTAAGTGGTCTGCTTTTCTTCTCTCTGCTGTGATTGGAGACAGGGAAGGGCAATAACTAAAAAAAAAAAAAAGTTTTTTTCTCTCTCTCTCCCTCTCTTTTCCTCAGGACATACCCTTGTTGTTTTCAACTTTAGAGGCAGAGCTTAGCTGAAAAAGCTCGAGCACAGTCGCAGTCTGCACTCTGCTGCGGCATAAGGGATTTAGTCCTGCAGCATACAAGATATATAAGATTACTGAGCAGTAGCTTCATAGGAAGCAGAGTTCATTTTGCACATTATTTAATAGTAAAGTGTCTTAAAAAAGTGTGACAAATACTTCTTCACTGAGTGATTTGACTGTTTCTTATTGTGTAGCTAGAGCTGCTTTGTCATTCCACATGCTGAAAGGAACAATTATTCTCCAATGTGGTAATACCCCAGGTCTTTGCCTAAGACTTGATAATTACTATGATCAGTCTTGTAGTTTACATGGGCGGATCACTAAACTTAGGGCGTTTGTGAAGGGTGGAGCGGCTTTTGTTTCTAGTATACAAGCGATGCTCTTTTAATTAATCAAGCTGCATTTTAAAGAAAATAGGGGGGAAAAAAACACAAGCACAGGGTATAAAATCAATTATTAGGCTCAGTTTTGCTATTTTATTTATTTATCTTAAAAACAATAATGAAAATATATATTTACAAAAAATGCAAAAAATTATGCTTTGGGAAGCTATACATACATCCACGGGAAAAAAAAAGATAGAAAAAGAAAAAAAAAAGCTCAACATAAATAAGTTAGTATAATTTTTCAGTGTTTTTCAAAAAAAAGAAAAAGAAAAGAAAAGAAAGACAGAAAAAAAAATGAGGCACACAGGTACACTTCAAAGTTTTACACCGAGTGAGGTGGTGTCACTTTGTTTTTCTGCCCTCACTTAAAATGAGAAATGAATAGTGCAATTGCATGTTCCACATGAATTCCACACCACAAAGACAAATCTTTGATTCACATATTTGCATAAAAGAAAAAGGCCCAGTGATTTTTTTTTTTTAAACATAGTTTATCTATGTTGACCTGGACAACATGCATTACTTACTAAGGGGAAGGATATGTGGCCTAAAAGTAAATAGAATATGAACTTACCTAATTTCAAAATAAAAGCTAAATCTTAGGATTATTAGCAAATACTGTTAAAAAAAATTTGGTTGGATATTGCTCAGCAGTTTAGCCATCCTCCCCTCCCACCCCTCACCCAGAGAATTTCTTTTTTTTAAAGGCACAAACTTTGGGCCTCCCCCATCCTTAAAAGAAATATTATAATAAAATAATGACATAAAACTGGGAAACAGGGAGACATGATCTGTGTGTAAACTTTATCTGTCATGGCTATTCCCAGTTAGATGGACCTTCAACTTACAGTGTGGCCATCTGGACCTTCAAAATAAAGATATTTAACACTGGGAGAATAAAGCCATAGAAAAAGTGAAGACATTTTGCTTCCACATAACCCTGACTTTTTTTTTTTTTTAAATCTGCATTTATTTATTTTTCTTTTTTTTACTTATATCAATTACCTGAATAATGATTTTTTTTTTTTAAATGACCACTATAACAAAAATAATATTTCTCTGTTGGAAATTGCACTGCAACTTCCCATGTCAAATTCACACACTTACACTTAAAACACAATTAACAAAAAAAAGTATGAAAAGCATAATATGCTTTTTTATGTGCTACATCTGAAACATAGGTAGTAGATACAAAACAAATGAGCAAAAATCAATTTGCACAATGCTACATTGTCTGCTGCTTCTGAGGCAAATTAATTCATATGAGTGCCAAAACTTGATAGTGTACATGTTCAGTGCTTGTGCAGCCTCTCCCTCCTCTCTTCTGCAGGAAAAGGTTGCTTTAAAAAAATAAAATAAAAATAATAATAATTTAAAAAAAAAATCTCTCCCCTCTGTCAGATGATGAGAAAAAAGCTACAGTATTCCATCAGCAACAGGTCTCTCCTCTCTGCTCTGTGGGACATAAAGAGGAAACGAGGCTGTTGAATGGTACAATGGAAAAAGGCAGTTATTCACACGCACACACAATAAAGGGTTGACCAGTCATACTCAGAAACACTGTGTTTACATGACATGACGCATAAATAGCATGCTGGGTTATTTGTGCAGACACTGACTCCTAACCTGGCGCTGTTTGCCCGCTGAAGCACCGCTCAGACCTCGAGTCTGCCGGGTCTCTCCTCCGCGGCTCTTATCGTCTGACTTCCTGCACCGTCCGACTTGTCATCGTCGTCGCCACCATCTCTACTACGCGACCTTTTAGTCAAACACTCGGTGGAGCAAGAGTCTGTAGTGAAGGGGCGGGGGGGGGAGCACACGCAGAAAAAGTTATCAGGATGTTGTCGCGTGGAGTACATTTTTAAAAGCCACCAGACGCATTTGTGCGATCAGCTGCCCGAGGAGGAAACGGTGTGCATCAGTAATATGGCGTGTTTTTGGTTCTCAGAGAACTTCCCGCAAAGTTTCGCCTTCAGTAACAACTCAAAATAAGACGGTGGTTGAACCACACACACACACACACACAACTGCTGCACCTCCGAGACGCCCAAATAAAACCAATCAAAACTAAAAAGATGACAGCTCTCACCTGCATCTTCTGCACTCCTTTTCTTCGAACCGTTTTTGCCTGGTTGGAGACCCGACGGCCTGTCACCGCCGTCGTTATCCAGCCGGTCGCTGTCTCCGGGAGAGCCTCTCGGTCTGCTGTGAGGCTGCCTGCTATAAAATTCCGGTGCGTCGTCGTCTTGCACCCAGTCGTAACTGCGCGGAGCGAGCGGCCTGCCTTCCACCAGATCGAAATCGTAAGTCTCCCTGAAACGCTGCACCTCCTCTCGCGCCGAATTCTCCGCATCCCTGCGGATCTCTTCTGGGTTCGGTCTACCGAAAAGATTTCTGCGAACCGAAGGTCTGACGTTGTCCTGCTGCCGAGCATCCACCCTCTCCACCGGGCTCGCGTTAGAAAGACGAACATCTGACATTTTGTTGCACATACAACGACGAAAAACAACACACGCGTGCTTCAAATCGCTGCTTCCGAAATAGTATTCCTTTCAAACGGACAGTCACGGGAATGATGCATGCATGCTCCGCGCGTATCATCCAAAAAAAAATAAATTCAGAGGTGGGGGAAAAAGCGTCTCCGAAGGCGCACGGGAGGCTGGCTGGGTGGGTGTGTGGAGGAAGAGGAGGGGGATTTAACACAGCCACTCCTGTCAACTCCGTAGTAAGGCAGATGAAAACACATCAAGTCATAAGAGCCAACATGGCGTTAGAGGCAGCTCCGAGTGTAGAAGAAAAGTTGACATCAAGGACTATTTAAACAGAGAAGGCGATTCATTGGTCTGAACTAAGAACCGCCCAGAAACTCTTACACAGAGCGGAGCTGGAATAACTGTGCACATGAATATGGCCTAATTACTGCGTTTCGTTACACACGGGAGTCAGGAGACAGGGAAGGAAGGGTGTAGTTACAAATTTAAGGTGTTGTTTTATCTCTCTCATTAGCACGATCGCTAAAAATAAAAGGGAGAGAGCGCGCAGCGGGGTGAAGATCAGACCTCACGTGTTAACACCTGACACCGGGATTACCGGGCAGAGAGAGCGCTCCGAGTACGGGACCGCGGCGGCAATCGGTCACCAAACGATTGTGCGAGTGCTGACAGATACTGCTGCATGATTTGATTTGGCGTCACGTAAGCAGATTGGACACGCTTAATGCGATCACTGTAGCTCTGTTCAGTTACAGCTCCAAGGTCACTGAAGGACACCTGGGGGCTCCAATGCGAGAAAAGTGCGAGAAAAAGGGGGGGCGAAAAAAAGAAACGAGGCACCCACTCACCCTCCAGTGACATCAGCGAAGGGCTTCGTCATCGTTGGCTCGGTGCCTATCGCTGTCAGACTTCGCCACTGGTGCCACAGGGCTGGTTTGTGTGCTTCACTGGCTGTAATTGCTCGTGTGCGTGCTCAGAATTTAAACAGAAAATAGAAACCACTTTAAAAAAAATCACTTTCAGTTTCACACCAATTTCCCCCCTAAGAGTTCTCATTTTGTATTTGTTTAAAAAAAAAGAGTCATTATTTAACTAGTGATCATCAACTTTATTGGCATTCTGTGGGCTTTGTAGGAATCCTGTAATAATCAATGAGAAACTTAAACTCAGTGTCATCTGCATTCCTCTGCAAGCATATGCCAGTAAAAAAAAAAAACCCTCTGGGGCCTGCCTGCAAGACCATGCTGCTTCAATTAGCCCTCGAGAAGCCTCTGAACATGTAGGGATAAACACAGCGAGTGTGTGCGTTATATCGATGTTATCGCTGTTTAATCCATAATGTGTTTATGCTGCTGTAAACGGTGCGTGGTGCTGTAGGGAACAATCCTTGAAGTGAACGTTGGACTCAGGACAGGTAAACTGGAATAATAAGTGAAAAAGTCAGACAGCCGATGCAAAAGGCGATGTTTTTATTTTAATGGTGCTTCACAGACACTGCTCAAGTTTATGCAGATGGAAGCAGAGATGCGGATTCAATGCTGTGTATGCTTCAAGTAAAAAAATAAAATAAAATAAAATGGGAGTAAATGCTTAACGCAACAGCTAAATGTAACTAATAGGGGATGATGCAACTGTGCCACATTCTGCCACTAAAACAGTTACATGGTAGCTATACTTGTTTGTGGAATCGCACAGTGCATATAGTTCACATTCTTTCCCAGAATAGTTGCCAAACTGGCCTCCACAAGCAACTGGCTGGGAAGGCCCATCAACCTAATAAGATGTCACCCTTATCGATCTCTTTTAAGATAAATAAATAACATCCAGCAGGAAAGTCGATCAGTCTGATTCACAGTGTAAACCACTGTTTTCCTGGTTGGTCCAGCGTGGTCATCTTTACACACACGTGTTGTGGACTCCTTTCCCGATCTCATGACACTGCAGCCTTTGCACTCTGCTTCTTCTTAGCCAGCTCGACCTGAATTTGATGGGGAAACTGGTCCAAGTGCTTGTTCACACATGGCACGCAGAACCTCTTGGTGTAGAAAAGGCTGCAGTCCTAACAAAGTGAGAAGGAAACAGAAATGACAAAAGTTCAGCATTTGGCTCTCCATGTTTGCATAAGTAAAGTCCAAAAGGTAGTGGGTGCCACTACTCTTTGGACTTTATTTATTTTCACCATCCACTTGTAAGACTGAATATTGATTGCAAGAGATTTAGAACCATGAAGCCCACTCAGCATTTCAGCCACATGATCGGAGAGTCATCTGAGCAAAATATCAAAACCACAGACATGCATCTGCAAGTGGAAAATTATGACAAAAGCACAGGGTTTAAAATCCAAAAAGGACGTTCGGCCCACAGCTGAGGACAGTCCTCCTGGTTGAGTTTGTTCAAGGTTCTCTATTTGTCACCTTGAACCTTGTCTGCAGCTTAGCAACACGGTTTAATATGGGTGAGATTAAATGATAGGAAAATATTCTGACCATATGATGAGACATCTTACCGATCCAACACAGACACAAGTGCCACAAAGGCTGCAAATGGACCCCAAAACTAGAAACTTCTCCCTGTCCGGACTGAAGGGGTCCTTGGTGATAAAACACTCCTCAAGCAGCCTGATGAACGACAGACAACAACACACATGCTTAACTCTGGCCCATCTTTAATTCATGAAGGGCACATGTACATAGTTCAAGCCTTATTCTGCTGCAAGTGCAGTCTAGTCACCGCTGGGCACTTTATTTCTCTCCGTGTTCAACGCAGCATGCAGTTAGTTACATAGTGGCTAACAACATTAGCGTTAGCCTTGCTAACACCAGAGCTCTAAAAATGGTACGGGTTGTTTTTTTTTGTTTGATTTTTGCTTCATTTTCACTTACACGATAGCTCTGGTGTTAGGCGGTTTCTGTCCGTAGTAAGTAAAGGGGCTAGTTAAACTGCACAACTGGCACGTAAATGTTTTTTGAGGGTTATCACTAGCAGCCTTTTCCTCCATCGCTCACAGCAGAAAGTCAGTTCCTGGTTTTCTCTTCCAGTCCGTCAGTGTTGTTTCGTGAAGCTTTACCGCCACCGACTGGACTGGAGCGGTAAGACAACCAAAAGTATTACAATATGATGGCGTTGTAAAGCAATAATAATGTGGTTACAACGATTATAACAGCGTCACTTGTATTTTAAAAATGACATAGAGAGAGCTGTAAAATATGTGACTTTGAATACTGTACTGTTAAGCAGTTTAATTTAATAATATTTGAATGACTAATTGATAGCATGAATAGCAAAAAGTACTTTTCCTACAGTCAAAATGTAAGTCCAGTAGGTAAAAGTTTTTATTTTATTTATGTATTTCTTTTTTATTTTATTTCTAGCCAATGAAATAATAATTTAATAATAATTTATTTCAGACAAACGAAATGTGAAAGCTTGTTTTCACCACTGAAAGGGGGGAAATGGCAGGAAGAGCTAAGTCAAAATATCAAGTTAATATCTCAGATTTTTGACTTGTTGACTTAAACTTCTGAGTAAGTACAGGGTGGGCCAGTTATATGGATACACCGTAATAACTTGGGAATGGTTGGTGATATTAAAGTCCTGTTTGTGGCACATTAGTATATGTGAGGGGCAAACTCCTCAAGATGGGTGGTGACCATGGTGGCCATTTAGAAGTCGGCCATCTTGGATACAACTTTTGTTTTTTCAATAGGAAGAGGGTCATGTGACAGATCAAACGTATTGGTAATGTCACAAGAAAAACAATGGTGTGCTTGGTTTCAACGTAACTTTATTTTTTCATGAGTTATTTACAAGTTTCTGACCACTTATAAAATGTGTTCAATGTGCTGCCCATTGTGTTGGATTGTCAATGCAACCCTCTTCTCCCACTCTTCACACACTGATAGCAACACCGCAAGAGAAATGCCAGCAGGCATCCAGTATCCGTAGTTTCAGGTGCTGCACATCTCGTATCTTCACACCATAGACAATTGTCTTCAGATGACCCCAAAGATAAAAGTCTAAGGGGGTCAGATCGGGAGACCTTGGGGGCCATTCAACTGGCCCACGACGACCAATCCACTTTCCAGGAAACTGTTCATCTAGGAATGCTCGGACCTGGCACCCATAATGTGGTGGTGCACCGTCTTGCTGGAAAAACTCAGGGAACGTGCCAGCTTCAGTGCATAAAGAGGGAAACGCATCATCATGTAGCAATTTCAAATATCCAGTGGCCTTGAGGTTTCCATTGATGAAGAATGGACCCACTATCGTTGTACCCCATATAGCACACCAAACCATCACTTTTGTTGTTCCAACAGTCTTGGAGGGATCCATCCAATGTGGGTTAGTGTCAAACCAATAGCGGTGGTTTTGTTTGTTAACTTCACCGTTCACATAAAAGTTTGCCTCATCACTGAACAAAATCTTCTGCGTGAACTGAGGGTCCTGTTCCAATTTTTGTTTTGCCCATTCTGCAAATTCTGTGCGCCGATCTGGAGTTTGTCCCCTCACATATACTAATGTGCCACAAACAGGACTTTAATATCACCAACCATTCCCGTTTTATTACGGTGTATCCATATAAATGGCCCACCCTGTACTTACTCACTTTACTTTAAGCACGTCTTTTATCCTGTCTTCCTCTCCTCACCCTAACCGGGCCTGGCGGTGCTGGAGGTTTCTTCCTGTTAAAAGGGAGTTTTTCCTTCCCACTGTTGCCAAAGTACTTGTTCATATGATTGTTGGGTTTTTCTCTGTATGTATTATTGTAGGGTCTACCTTACAATATAAAGCACCTCGAGGCGACTGTTGTTGTGATTTGGCGCTGTATAAATAAAATTGAATTGAATTAAAAGTCAAAATTTATACATAATACCTCAGAATTTGATTTACCAACAATGAAGAAAAAAATGAAACAAGTCACAGAAACAACCTTCCACCATAAAGAGTTTGGTGTATGTTCTGAAGTGCTCATGGCTTCATTTAGAAAGTGATGTTAAATAGATTAGTTTATTTCAGACTACAACACATTTAACATCAACAGCATGTTTACACATATATAAAAGATAAAATGTTTCATTATGACCTACAACAACTTCGCAATGCTACATCACGGTTCAGAGTCCAAGTACAGAAAAATAAGGTGATCAGCTCCTCTTTTTGAGGCCTGCAAATACACACGTCCCTTACACCGAGGTTAAGGCAGTCTTGTTATATTTCCAAAGCACAACACAAGCTAATTAACAGATTATTTTGTTTGTATTGGAAATATAAAGTACTGGCTGTTAGCACATTTTTCTCCTTGAGATTTAGTTTTACATAATGGCAGGATTTGTACATAAACATGTACTCTGTAACACTGAAAATCTGAATTAAAAGGAAAAAAAAGTGAGCTATCACGCTGTGTTGGCTTTTAACAGCAGGGCAGAGGATGAATAAAAAATGACACATCAAATAACAGATTATTGCCTGCAGGAGAAGTAAGGCTAATTATCTGTTATGTGTTGGAGGCAGAAGCTGTGCCCAAAACAGGAGAAACCTGAACTCGTGCAGCAAGTAACGATGACACTTGATCAGTTCTCTGCGAGTTGTCAAGGTAGTCAAAGCAAATGTGCCACAAGTACGCAGTAACAGAACAAGAAAATGACATAAACCACATCCAGAGGGCCCTAATCTGTTATGTTCACAGGCATAGTTATCCTCAGTGTACGCACGCATGAGGTCAGCAGTCATACCCAGGTATATTTTTGATATGTGTACATAAATTTCTTTGCACAATATGCCAATATGCACAGCCTGCTTCAGAGTCACTTTTCTTCACATGTGTAAAAGCTGGCATCCAAGGCACTCAGCTCCAAGACATTCTGGTGCTGCTGGTCAACAAAATTAACCCTTTAATGATACCTCTGCACAGCTATGGTTTAAAAAAAAAATGCTCCCTTTCCACTGTGCGACCTCTTAATGAAGTGGAAGCAGTCACTTTCCCAACAAAAGCTGCCTCCCCCCTCCTTAAAAAAAGATTTTTGTTTTGCTCCGGTTTGTGCAGCAGCCTCAGAAGCTGCATTGCTGTTCCTTCCTGTACATTCATATGCATTTCTCAGTTGATATACTCAGTACATGTCTCTGTATATTTCTTGCAGCAGCGGGTGCAGGGAAGTATCCTCTGTCGTCTTGATTTCTTGCACCAGCTGAGCATGCTCAGTGACCAGCTCCCGGAGGTCAGCCAACTTCTGCAGCAGCCTGGGGAAAAGGAAGGTGTCATCTGGGTGATTGGCCAGCAGGTGGAGCCGCAGCGCCTGAACAATGCTTTCCTGCAACTGCTCTACTACAGGTACGTCTACCAGGCCTGGACGATCTTTGGGAGCAGTGGGGGAGGACAAGATAATGAAGAAGGAAAATTCAAATATGTCTTTTTCTCTTTTAAATTATTATTCTACCACCTATTATCGGCCTTTTACCTCCACAGCAGATAATAGCAGCCACAAAAAGAGCTAGGTCGCTGTCGTCCAGCTCCAGAGAGTTGAAGCGTGTGGCAAACTGGAATTTGGGCTCCATCATGTCACTGAATGGTCGGCGGAGACTCTTGAGGAACTCACGGGTGATAAAGCCTCCACCACGGGCCACCAGGAGGCCGTCCTTGTTCATGCACGAGGCCAAGAGTGTGAAGAGGGCTTCGTAAACACCGTACTTCAAGAGAGTCACCTAAAAGGTAAATAGAAAAGCAATAGCATGTGAACACTCATCTGCTCTTCCTTCCACTTCTTACCATAGAAGGCAACCTGAAATCCACCTGATCATTCAAATCCAGACTCTGGAAACCCGGCATAGCCTTGGCAAATTCCGTCAGCTCTGTGACAGTCTCCACTGAGGTGCTCTGGCAGCAGTGGAAGAGCCTGGCTTCGGCCTCCCTCTGCCGAAGCTCCCCGCACGACACAGCCGGACTCACTTGTCCGAGGACGCTGTCAGACTCCGGATAGTTGCTGTTTGTCATATGGACCGCTAACGTTCTCTCCGCCAGCTGGAACGTCTCCATGTCGTGGATGATGAGAGGCTGCTGGGAAATACAGAATCTGTCGGTGAGGCAGAGGGCAGAGATATAGAGCAGAGAATATTCTCAAACTTTATTTTCCACTTTACCGGCTTGCTAGTTTTTCCAGTGAGTATGAGCCGTGCTTTTGCCTTGTTCATGTTGAAGTTCTTCATGTAGGCATCATGGATCTGCCTGACCAGAAACTTGTGGTCAGACATTAAGGGACTTTCCACATCTTTCTCAACCATCTTGCTTTCCTCCTTCAGCTTCAGTTTTTCTGCCTGGGGCATACGACCAAACCGGATGGCTGGTACATAAAACACTGGTCATTAGAAATTGCCACAGGACTTTCTTTTTTCCCCCCCCCCTCACATTGCACAATAAATTGACATATGGAGCCATAAGGCTTATGCTGCCTCAGCAAATATTCAAGGATTCAAGGATTCAAATATGCACTAGTACCCTAAAAAAGAAAGAAAGAAAGAAAGAAAATCACGTACAACAGATCTGGTACATCCTGTTCTATTTCTATTCTTCTGAGGCATGCCATGTTCCTCTCATGTTTCTGATGCTGCTAGTGGGAGGTCATCACAACAAACTCAGTGACCCTCCAGCATTCACTGCAGACGACGGGCCAGATGTCACAGCAAAAGCATTTTGACTGAAGTAGAGCTAAATTACCGAGGAACGACAACCTGCTGATGTTTTAAAGAGCACATGTTGAGACTGAGGATGTTCAGACTCTTATTGGCAGTTCACGGTGCATCGGGCTAATCACCCTCAAGTTCTTTCACTGCGATGTTTCAGCAGTGCTTTGATCAGAGTAATTTGTTACATACTTGCAACCTTAGTTCCACATATGGGGAAAAGATGTATGATACCAGTTTTTCCATATCAACAGATGTCGGAGAGGTAGAATCACAATTTTACCCTTTTGGTTAGCTTATAATAGCTAGCTTATGGTAGCTAATGCTCGCAAACTTAGCCTGACCTTTAAGTTTATCACTGGTTGCTTGAGCTTGTTCTCAG